TTAGGAAGGTTGTGAACCACTGTTCTAAGGGGTGGGGGTGGGGGTGAGAGATGAGATTTAGTGGCTATGGATTATATCAGATGTTTTTATTTAAAAAAAAAAATTTTACTGGTATTTTTGGAAATGCATGGCGTGTTTCCCCGAGACAACTATTATAAGTCTGCATATTTGCCTCCCTTACGATGCCCGATTGTTCGACTGCCGCTGTCCAGGTTTTCGTCGCAATAACCAACGATAATAAATAAGCCAGTGCCTACTGCATGTCCAGTACCTGGGAGAATGTTGAAAGTTTACGCCAATACGTCGAATCTTCGCTTATCCTGCAATGGAACATAACAGTGTAGAAGCCAAGTTCAGTTTTGGATATTTACAAAAATGTCTCAAAGTTCGATGTAGCATTATTTAAAATAATAATAATAATACTTTTAAAAGTATGTTATATAGAAGCAAATTTTGTGTGCATTTGTATTTTTTTTTCTTTTGACTCAAAAGTATGTATGTAAAAGTTACCCACACGAGACAGGATGACGTGAAACCTGCACACTCAAGGACTACAACTAGGCTACAACTACGAAGCTCATCCAGAAATGTTTCCAAGAGAAGCTTCTTATTAGAGATGGACATTATTTTTACAGAAAATTGTTCCAACGGAATTTCGTTCGAAATGCAACTAGTTAAATGTTTATTGATTATTAATTATGTGTTTTTTTTTAAGGAAATGTGCGAATGAGAAATGGGGAACTTGTTTCCGTTTGAACAAATTGCCGGTAATGATAATGGCCATTACAAAGGTCTTCGTGGGGGGGGGGGGGGGGGAGGCGATGGCGTCAGTACAAAATTGTAACCGATCACTTACTTTCTATCAAGTTCTTCTATTTCTGCCTTTCCACAACATTTCCAACCAAACATTTTACGTTCTAGGTGAAATTAAAACTCGGCTATAAAGTTATGTTTTGTTCGTTTCCTTGATGTGTTCTTCAGTGTGATGAGACGCGTTTCCGTTTACGAACCAATTATAGACTAAGAGAGAAGTGTGCATTTCTTTAAATGCTAATGTCAAGTTTATGCTATTTTTCTTACAGTAGATTTAATATTTGAGACTTGTAGCAGCAAATGATGGGAAAGTTCTCAAGGACTGACTAGGAAATTTGCAGAAATGTGGCATTTTAAGATGATATTTTTATGATTTCTACATGGCGATACAGTCTTTAGTTTTGTTTTCATCACACTTAAGAATAAATTATGCCATTACTTTTAAATATAAACTTAGAGATATTATTATAGTTCGTCCGCTGAAATCGATCGGGACCATTTCACTCAAACGGTTTACGGTGGTTTTGATTCTGTCTGGGGTTGCGAAGATGGCCGATGAGACTGATTAAGGCACGAAATGTTCTTGTTCAGTAGGTTCAAGTGTGGGATGGGACGTCTCCAGTTGCAGAGTTAACCCGGGCTTTTCTGGATTTTTGTTGTTGTTGTTGCTCTGCAGCTTCTGCTCTGTTGACTACATGTTGTATTGATGATTTATGTACAGATGAACGCCAGGGTGCTCGATACTTTGCCAAATCATCCCAAGAGTTCTGGTTTATATCGAACGCTTTTTTTTGGGGGGGGGGGGGGGCGGTTAGGTTGTCTTTAAAGCCTCTCACCGCCCACCAGCCAATCGCCTGCTCTGCTCGAGCTTGCTATAAAAACAAAATTGGGGGAGAGGGGGGGGGGTGATAGCTATCGGCCGTCTGACATTCTCACATGTACCCACACAGCGAAAGCTGGGACTGCATTAAAATGATACGTATGCTGGGGAAACCTGCCTGTGCGAGTAACTCAGTTGTTTGGATAGTCTTCTGCCTTTTGGTATTGAGAATTTTTCCGAGGCTTGTCGTGTGAAAGTGGTTAAACGTTATTGCATGACGTCGATAGAGCGTCCATGTTGCACGGGCTCAAAGAAGCGTAGGGGGCATAACCGAGAGTTTAAGTGCTGATAACTCACCTGGTCCATACATGCCTAGTCATTTTGCCCAAGGTTGCATTGATACCTCACCTGAGCCATACATTCCTAGTCATTTTGCCAAAGGTTGCATTGATACCTCGCCTGAGCCATACATTCCTAGTCATTTTGCCAAATGTTACACTGATACCTCACCTGAGCCATACATTCCTAGTCATTTTGCCAAAGATTGCACTGATACCTCACCTGAGCCATACATTCCTAGTCATTTTGCCAAAGATTGCACTGATAACTCATCTTATCCTAGTCATTTTGTCAAAGGTTGCATTGATTCCACACCTAAGCCATACATTCCTAGTCATTTTGCCAAAGGTTGCATTGATACCTCACTTGGTTCATACATTCCTAGTCATTTTGCCAAAGGTTGCATTGATACCTCACTTGGTTCATACATTCCTAGTCATTTTGCCAAAGGTTGCATTGATACCTCACTTGGTTCATACATTCCTAGTCATTTTGCCAAAGGTTGCATTGATACCTCACTTGGTTCATACATTCCTAGTCATTTTGCCAAAGGTTGCATTGATACCTCACTTGGTTCATACATTCCTAGTCATTTTGCCAAAGGTTGCATTGATACCTCACTTGGTTCATACATTCCTAGTCATTTTGCCAAAGGTTGCATTGATACCTCACTTGGTTCATACATTCCTAGTCATTTTGCCAAAGGTTGCATTGATACCTCACCACCTGGTCTAAATATGCATAGTCATTTTGCTAAAGGTTGCACTGATACCTCACCTGGTCCATACATTCCTAGACATTTTGCCAAAGGTTGCACTGATACCTCACCCGGTCCATACATTCCTAGTCATTTTGCCAAAGGTTGCACTGATACCTCACCTGGTCCATACATTCCTAGTCATTTTGCCAAAGGTTGCACTGATAACTCACCTGGTCCATACATTCCTAGGCATTTTGCCAAAGGTTGCATTGATAACTCACCTGGTCCATACATTCCTAGGCATTTTGCCAAAGGCTGCACTGACTTTTACAATACGAAAGTTAACCTCGTCATAGACTTGCATGTTGGGCTCAGCATTAGGTTTTCCGATGAGCTTGCTCTACTTTGTTCTACACACCAGGCCAACGTTGGCGCTGTCATCAGCTATTTTAATCGACGGACTTGTATACAATTGTATATCTTGAACGACTGATGGAAGACAAGGACTGTTCTCCGTGGTTATTTCTCTCTTTATTAATATCCAACACTTACAACAAGGTAGTAATAAATAAAATAATTAAAAAATAATATTTAAGTAAAAGGAACCACAAAGACAAAAAACTAAGTTTTAAGGCTCCAAACTCCATTACGTTTATTGTGCTTTTAATCGGCTTTTGTAGTAGTAAGTTTTCTATTTTCTATGGAACCCAAGGAACTTCGAATGTGTTTATTATGTTTCGGACTATACATATTGTGTATTTATAGGGGTCAATTGTGTTTAAATGAAAATTGGGACACCCTAAGCATTAAGCAACAAATGCACACTTCCGCCATCTTGCAAACACATAATACGTCATCTTGAAAACAAGTGGCGGCACAAAAAATAATCAACGGAAGACAGGTCGGCTACGGAAATAATCAATAATCTTTTCTTTCTTTTTTTTTAACGTGCAAGACGCTTAAGTAAATGCCGACGTACACTCAAGGGCCTACATACCTTACACATAATCTGGCCACAACAACACGGTTCGCCTAACGCCTTGCTCATTAATAATTGTAAGAACGAACCAAACCTCAGAAAAGAGCCTTTCAAAACTGACAAGCGTGTGCAGATTTAATGTTCAAATCCATTGATTGCGTTAAATAAAAGTATCTTTTGATGAACAAGTAAATCCATAGTTTGGTTTAGTTTCACGATTTCATGGATTAAACTTACCAAAAACTCTTAACACAGAGATGGACACGTTATGTCTTAACTTTCTGATCAGAGCAATCCTAATGTCTAATTTAAGCCAGCTACCTAATCACAGGCCGCCTTCTTGTTTACATTGTATTTAAATTTTGAGCGAAGCCTACAGCAGAAAGTTGACGCAATGCCAGCATGACAATTAGTCATACAACAAATGGGAACAGGATTTGCCTTTAACGTAAGTCAGTTTGTTTTTCTGAGAGCTATTTTTGTTTAGTAGGCATTTTTTCCACAAACCCTACCTACCATAAATACTAACATAAGTTTTTATTGTGCACTTATATTTTTAATACATATGATCATACCTTGATGTTAAGTTAAACAGGTATTAATTATAGGAGTAACTGAACACAGACGATTGCGCAACTTATGTATTGGGAAAATATTTAAAACATATTCTAAGGCCTATTTCTATACTCAAGCAAATTATTTATGAACAGAAGCGCACGAGAAATATTTTTAAAAAGGTCTTTAAGCAAAATATTCGCTAATAATAAATATATTTATATATAAATTATCAAAATATAACAGCATCCAAGTCCAAGTTATTTTTTATAAAAGAGACTTAGCAAATTAATTAAAGTAATTATCTAAATTAGCACACAAAAATATTAATCACAACTTATAAGGTGCATAATTAAAAAATTATAGGCGCATCTAATGGTACACGACGAGCGTCATTAAGGCACGATGCATTTTTTTATTTTAAAAAAATTTATTAAATTCGAATCAATCCAACTTAGAATTAGGGAAAAAAATGATCAAACGTTTTTCCAAGTGTCACTAACAGAACCCGAGTTTGTGGAATCCTTTATAAAAGAACATTGTAAATGATTTCAAAGTATATTCTACCGCTTCCACCCCACTCCTTAGCATCTAGTCGTGATCCTAATATTTACTTTTTCAATTTCAACAGAATTAAGGAGCCATTAAATCATGTTTATTTTATGAATCAGCGTAAGACGACCAATCAATCGCATGCACGCGGTCAGGAAGTCCAAATAACATGTTTTAACTCAAGTCCCGTGCTAACAGCAACGGGGGCATTACATGGAAGCCCTATATCAAAAACCAAAAATCTACTTGATATCTATTGCGTCTCATTCTGAATCAAATAAATACAATACAATCGAACATTATTTCATCAAACCGAAATAATCCTAAGATGTCACGTGGTTCCTATAAATTAGTCCATGGACAGGGGGTACCAAGCATTCGATGGTCAGTGTCCCTATGACCTCCAGCCCTTCACCTTGGCCGTGATCGTTGGACGAGACGTCCCCGTAGAGATAGCGAGACGAGGTGTCGTAGTTCACCTGCCTGAGCCTGCCACAGCGTCTGTCATTCCTGGGCCAAACGTCGCAGTCGTTGCACGGTGTAATCGCGTCCAGGTCGCTCATCAGCTGTCGTCTGCGCTGGAAGGCCGACTGGGCTTTTCCCTGTTCAGGGGATTTATCTTCTGGGGGATGTCTGGAAATCGTTTTGGAGGTTTCCCCCGCACCCGTTTTCTCTTCAGTGTCGCTGGATGGTCGATGTGGGTGTTCCAGCTCCACATTTTTATCTAGTGATGGCTCCACAACATATGAGTTAAAGGTTTCACTCGAATGTAGTTCAATCAATGGGTACAACTCCACCAGTGATTTTATACCACTCGATGCCTCCATGTTACTATCAGGTGATGGCTCTGCTGCAGGTGAATTGAAGACTTCATTCGAATGCGGTGCCACCGATGGATACACTTCATCCGGTGACGTAACGAGGTACGACGGTTCCATAGAGCTTGGGACATTGTCCAAGTCATTTCGCCGAATCACTTGACCTACATCGGCCGGGAAAAAGTTCGACCGTAAATCATTTACCGTGTCGCATTCGTACAATTTTTCATCAGACAAATGCAACTTCAGCGATGCTTTTCTTGGATACCTCAAGTTGAATTTATCAAGACAGTAGTCCCTGGGTTTTCCACCCAGTATTAAATTCAAATGATGTACTGACTTACATTTCGGAAGCATTTTCAGAGGTTCTTGACACAATTCGAGTGCCGACTTGCTTTGAAGTTTTCTCTCAGCTCTTTTTCTGCCGTCTACGGCTGCGTCGTCATGTATTTTATCTAAGTCACTAAACGAATGCCACTGAAACTTTAGCTTCGATGCACTCCAGTAATGTTCAGCTTCTCTACCCAAATTATACTCTGCTTCTTCCGCTAGGTGGCCCCGGATGTTTAAACCCAATCCGGTAGTCGTGTCTTCCATGTCATTCCGCACGTGATGAAATCCCCGTTCTAAAATAGCCATTGAAGCTCCTTCGACCGTTTTAATATGTTCACGCAGACCGCTGCCATTAGTTTCAGGGCCGTCATCGGATGAATTGTTTTGATGCATGCTCTCTCCGCCAACGCTGTTCTCTAGAACCAGATCTCGTTTAATTTCCCCTTGTAGCTCCATGACTCGCTGACCGCGAGATATGGGTAGTTCAGGCGTCATGAGATCGCAGTCGAAATCCAGGCCCGAAAATGCATTCTTCTCTGCCGGCGATTGACCGGGACGATGTTCATCCAGTACAACTGACCTGGGGGCGTGCTTAGGGGGCGTGCTCGTTTCGTCTGCGCTTTGGTTACCGTTGACGCCTGATAAAACTGGTTCCGGTAGGCTTCTTGCCGTGGGGTTTGGGGCGGTATCGTTGTATTGCGTTGTCGGCACGCTACTGATGCGCAGAGAACGTATCCCACTGTTGCTATCCTCCGAGGTGGATTTCCTTTTTTGGAACTTCATGGACTGGGGTGCCGCTCCGGTGGATTTCGAGTTAACTTTGACGTCCTGTTTCGTCACCGTTTTGTAGTAATGCGTGAACCCGACGCCGTCCGAGTCAGCATCTTTTGCTATCACCGAATGCCTGAGTAAATCTTCACGTCTTATGACTCCGGTGAAAGTGCCCGTACCCTGGGAAGGTCCCGTATCGTCATCGTGGAGTGCAGAGGTAAAAGACCTCGTCCCGTCGTTGTCACTGGTCCGAGATCGTTTCCTCAGCAAAAAGAATCCCGATTTCTTCTTGCGGGGTTCGACTTCTTTCAAAGTTTCCGGTAGACGCGCGGGGAGTTGGGACTTTTTATTGCTGCACTTCGGCTTAGCCACATTTCGGCGTTTAAACAGATTCAAGAAAGATAGCTTGACACGGAACTGTTCATATGAACTCATTGCTGCCTTCGCCTTTCTCTCGACATCCGTCTGCCCCCACCGGCGTGCTCGACTGCTTCCTGGCGGTGGGGACTCAATTTTGTTCAAATACACTTTATAAGAACCAGATCCCTGACTGTGTTGATCCGATAAGGGGGGTCTCCTCGTTGATTGGTTAGCGTAAAAAGCCCGATGGGCTGCTAGAGTTTCTGGGGCACTGCTAGTCGACATGGTGGCGCTAACGGAGGAATCGAGGTCATTTGCTCCACTTGAAGGTCCAGGCCGTTCGTTCGTGTTTCCCTCCAGCTTCCTCGTCACATACCCGAGGAAAAAAGCTTTCCTGAGGGTCGGGGCCAGTGTTGCTGGTCTCGCGTTTTGGGGACTGCGACGGCTTGCCCAAGGTTCGGACTCGACGTTCGAATTCGAACATTGTAGAGCATCGTCGTGTTCTTGATGTGAGATTAGTTGATGGGGCATTGGAGGCGAGCTGCATATCATAGCATCTGCATTGTGAGTCCACTCTGCTGCTGGCTCTTGGCTCTGGTGCTGTCCATGATGATCGCTGAAAACCAGGTCAGTAGACTTGGTGCTCATTTCGGATACAACGCGGTCGTTGGTGCATCCTATGGCAACGAGTTCTTTCAACTGCAGGCTTTGCGAACCGTTGCACAGAAAAAAGTCCACCAGGGTTTCGGTGCTCACACCACCGGATCCAGAGTCTCGGTTCGCGTTTGTGAGCGGGGTGTCTCCGAAGCAAAGATTGTCGACCAAGGGTGAATGGTGGCAGGAAGCGGGGTCACTTTGTCCGCACCAATAGCTGTCCGAGTCCAATGTTGTGGCATCTCGGTACAAATTGTCACAAAGCCCGGGGTTCTTCGGTGGTTTGCCGTTGTACAAACTGCTGACTGTCTCAGAGGATGTCACGTGTACGTCAATATTGGGTACGTACCTCTGCCCCGATGCCTCTTTGAATGATTGAGTCGCCGAGGGAACATCGTTGATTCCAAGCGGCAAATGACCGACTCCGTGTAGCGGGGTGCAAGAACTTATCGCCTCGGAGGTCCCATTTTTAATATCTTCCGGGCCTTCGCACTGGACCACGTCTTGAAATGCACCTTCACCCTTACTCAGCTGAGATCTACTCCCCACTCGTTTGATGGCTGTTGCGTGGGGCCCGTGCTGGGACGCGCCTTGATTATCACTTGTCTCATCTTTGTTTGGCTGCCAGCTATCCCCATTGTTGCTGTTGTTGTTGTGGTAACCGTCTGTGCTCGTGGTGTTACTCCGATCCATGTTATTGACCAGTGTCGAAGTCCTTCGATTACCGAGGATACAGTGGGCTTTCCCAGTGTTGTCGACTGTTATCGTTTTACTTATGTTCTCGTCCGATTCCAGTGCCGCTATGCCATCAGCTCTTATAGTTTCCTTGCATGATTGTGGTTGGTGTTTATGACTTTGTGCCGGTGGAAGGATGTCAATAACGGTGGGACACCCCTGTTTTTCTGGCTTTGTGTCAAGCCTCCAAGCTGAACTAAATGTATCACTGATTGTTTTTCCGCCAATCCAACCGCCACCCCGATGATTTCCTTTGCCGCTGCCAATCTTACTGCCCGGCATTCGGTCACGTTGGTCTCCGTCTTTACCGATCCCCCTTTGAATGTCCTTGTCTATTCCCGTTACGCTGTTCAACCACTCCCGCCCGATATCATCTCCGTCATCATCGCTGCTCACACAGAGCTCATGTCTTGCGGTATCACACAAGGACGTTCCGTTCCACTCGTCCTCCTCGCCGCTGTTTCTCCTGGTGCACACCTCGCTGGCCGAGACGCTGCCCTTGCTCACGATGGTAAACCCCTTGAACTGGGACCTGCGCACTTGAAAGATGTTCAGTATGTGTTCCTCCGCTGCCGTGCCGCTAGCACTCGCATTCTCGTCCGTGGATCCGCGCTCGGCCCTGTCGACTTGTGACGAGTTACCAGCTCTCTTCTCCTTTGGCTCGGCCCGCAAGGCAGGGCCTCTAGCTGGTGATTCTTGGGGCTCGCCTTCGCCGGGTTGGACTTTGAGAACGTAAACCTTGTCCAAGGTGCTCAGCGTCGATGAGATAAAGTTTTCACGGTGCGGGTTGCGTGGATGCAAAATCAGAGTCTTGCTTTCTGCACGTTGTGGTTCTTGGGCGTCCTCCTTAGGTGCAGATCGAGGACCCTGGTACCGTTCGGTTTTCAAATCACGATCAGTGCTGAGGGGGAGAAAGATGGAAGCAGGATATAAGTGATAAACTCAAACGAGGATCATACGGCGTGGGTCAGAAATATGTAAGCAGGATATTGGTGATGAAAACACTGAAGATACATGTGCATGAGAGACTCGCATCTGCACCTCTGGTCCACACGGACCGGATGACGTTCTGAAACTTGTAAAAGCTTAGAGAACGGGTTGTTGAATTATCTAAAAATAACTAACACTCAAGGTAGAGCCCTACTTATTACATGCCCTTACGGAACCGATTCCTTGGAAATTTGGGATGTCATCACTAACCGGATAATACTCTTTACCTCAACTCTAACTTTAGAAGACGTCAACCCTGACATTAGAAGACGTCAACTCTGACATTAGAAGACGTCAACTCTGACATTAGAAGACGTCAACTCTGACATTAGAAGACGTCAAATCTGACATTAGAAGACGTCAACTCTGACATTAGAAGGCATCAACTCTAACATTAGAAAACGTCAACTCTGACATTAGAAGACGTCAAATCTGACATTAGAAGACGTCAAATCTGACATTAGAAGACGTCAACTCTGACATTAGAAGGCATCAACTCTAACATTAGAAGACGTCAACTCTGACATTAGAAGACGCCACTTAAAGATGAAAGTCGAGTTATAAATTTGTGTAAGATTTTCACGCTACCCTGCTTCGAGGCTAAGCCTCGCTAACCACAGAATCCTTCCCTGGCATCCATAGTAATGGCCCCGGTAAAAGGATAACGTCGTGAATTCTAAATTATCGGGCATTAAAAAAAAAAAAACGTGCATGAGGATTGGATATGCCGCAAAATCATACCGCCCAGACTGCAAACCCCCCCCCCTTCCTCCCGCCAAATCGTTATGTTCTATTAAAAAAAACACAAGGGTTCTCGGCTTTTGATAAGGGGCATGCTAAAGACTGTGAGTGGTGTACGCTTCAGCGCGCGCAATGAACTTACGGTTTAAAATATTTGTTTGCTTTCTTTGTGACTGCGCGCTTCTCCTGCCACTCGGAGACGGTGGCGTTCGATTCAGCAGAGCAGAGTGAGTCGCAGTCTTCGGGCTGGCTACAACAGCTCGTGTAGTCTGAAAACAGACGCACTACGTGTTATATTTCAGTAAAGCTACCTGTTTGTACTAATGATTTTGAAACATTTTTTTTTTTAAAAGCCACGGCTGCAGATTTGGAAAAGAAATATATTTAAATAACTGAGAGATGAGGCATTATTCCGATGTAAGAAACAAATATCTTTCTCGGGTTGTCTGATATTATTGACAACCGGACCTGACCAAGGTGGTCTAATGCAGATATCATAAGTCTAATGACAATTCTCAAACTGTGACAATTTTTTTTTTACACATCAGCTTATTCAAAAGAGAGAGGGGGGGGGGATGGAGTGAGATTTCAGGTGTACGTGAGAAAGAAATGGAAAGTTGGAGAGAGGGGAAAAAAAGGGATCAAGAAGTGTCATGGGATTTAAAGAAAACTCTTCTTAAACACCAAGCTTAAATATGTGGGGGGGGGGGGTCGTTGACGTTACATATCCCGTGGATTGAAAATTAAGACATGTCAGAGTCATACTGGGTCTCACGGGTCATAATGGGACACATCAGGGTCATACTGGGTCTCACGGGTCATAATGGGACACATCAGAGTCATACTGGGTCTCACGGGTCATAATGGGACACATCAGAGTCATACTGGGCCTCACAGGTCATAATAGGACACGCCATAGTCATAATGCATCCCACAAGCCATAATAGGTCACGTCACACCGTGTATTCACCTTCTTCTTTTTTTTTTTATATTGTAGCAGTTGAAAGTCTTGAGCCTAATTGCTTATCGCAGCTCTGTTTTTCAAAAATAAATTCCGGAAAATACAAAGATGAATAATTGCTCGCAAAGAGAGATTACTACCATGAGAGAAAGAAACTTGTATTGGGATTCGGCAATTCTCCTCTTAGATCCTCAATCTCCATTAAGAAATGGCATACGATTTTTTAAACAGGGATTGAGAGAATTTTTTTTTTAAAATTCTCTGAGGATTATAATCCTGTAATATCACAATAAATTAGTATCAGACCAAAAATTGCAGACAAGGAAATATGCACAATGGATTTTAGCGAAAAATCACATTCTTTGCTTTGTTAGTGTCTAGAACTTCTATGAGGTATCAAGTCAAGGGTGGTAACAATCTCTCATTCAATTTACAATAGTGTCGGTCTTGTTCATGACATTTTGACGACTACTGCTTAATTCGTATGCTAAAAATGTCTTATGCTTTGTTAATTATTTCAAGAATCGCCCATGTCGAGGAAATCAGAAAAGTTGCGTTATTCTGCAATGCAACAAACCTACCTCTGCGAAAAAGGCTTTTCTAATCAAATGAACAGATGGACCAAAAAAAAAAAATAGAAATCTATTGAAACCCTAAGACCAGTATCATCTTTTCCCTGATACCAAAAGGCTCCAAATTTAATTCCCTTTTGCATGAGATATTTCTCTAAAACCTCTAGCAAACAAATGTCTAAGGAAATCGTTTTTGTTGTTTTTTTAAAATTCACAGTGATGACTTTATTATTTTATTTTAACGCATTGATTTTATGATTTAAAATACGTATACATGTCATTTTATTCTCCTTTCAAATAGTTGTGGCAGACCTATGATTTTAAATAGTCTTTCGAATCTAGCTGGCAACGTTGGCGTAAACTAATATATCTAAGGGATATAGCTAAGAAAAAAATCCACCGCATCTTGATCTAGTATGTCAGAACTATCTACCTCTAGTGAATCAACAAATCTCAAAGCCATTCATGTCTGAAATCCGCCATGTTTTTTTTTTTTCCTCAAATTATCCAGAGTCACCATGGTACGCAGTTTCTGAGTATGAAGACAGCCAAAAAAAATTTTCAAAGTACGGCATCAGGTTCTCCAAAGTTCCAACGCCTCGTCTAATCTTTAATTTTAAAATAAAATATTCTATACTGAAAGACTCGTCTGTCGTCCCTTGTGTCTCTTCTCTGGATTAGTATCTATACAATTATAAGGGCCAACTGTGGGTCCCCCACATCGTTCACCACCCCTTAGCGTCGTCCCTGGATAGTTGATACCATCTATCATCACATTGTGAAGTTTAATGCTAAGCTTTCGTTAGTTAAACAATGTATGTTCAATAGAACACGGTTACCGTTCTACACATTAGCCACGGTTTCGTTTAAGCCAAAAAACAAAACAAAACAAAAAACTACCGATGACAATGAGACCAATGAATGGCCAGACATTAGTAAGAATTAACCAATAGAAAGCTTCAATAAATAAAACCATACTTTTAAACAGTCAAATGGAAACAGTCTTTTCACAATACAATTTTAGGCTCCTTGGGTTGGCATACAATTAAGACGTTAAGCATACGTTAAACAGCTTTATTTCAATACTGTTTTGCTGTTTTCCACAAAAAATTAAACCGGAACATAAATTTCTGTTGCTGCGTTAAAGATGCACAAAAACGGAAATGACATCATTGAATGGATTAATATCTTTTTTTTTTTAAAATCACCTCAAAATTATTCACGCCATGAAATAATTTCCCTTAAAATTCTTTTTCAATAAGCGTAAAATAAATACTAGATCTCCTTGATTCACCGTCTCAATATACCGATTTGTAAAAATACTTTGTGTTAACTTCAATTTTGTTCTTGGCTGGCTGACAAAAATCTTCGGACTGCTAATGTATCCCCTTTCCGTCATCCTATCAAGC